TCTCTCTCTCTCTCTCTCTCTCTCTCTCTCTCTCTCTCTCTCTCTCTCTCTTCCTGACCCCTTCTCTACTTTCTGAAAGTCTCTCTATTCGTAGTTGGTCTCTTCGTTCGAAGGGATTTTGTCTTTGTCCATCAACGGCTGAAGGCTGTCACTTATGAAATTCCGACGATGCTCTCGTCAACTGTCGATCGATCTTTCTACGTATCATTGGAAACGATCTTTCTCTCCTCTCCTTAACGAGCCCGAAGACGCTCTCTCGACGACGCTTTTCGTCGCAAGTACAGGCGCCCACCCTCTCGAACTCGACTCTCGAGTTGAGTTTGTTCTCGCGGCTTTCGCAGTTAAGGTTCGGAGGTAGGTGGAGCTTTAGGTATCCTACATACGTTCGCGGACGCAATGCTTCTGTCATGACGCAAGCCTCGCCCCACGGCCAATCCGTAGCTTTTCCCGCGACGCCGCTTTTCCACAATGTCCAATCCAGACGGACGGCGAGAAAGCCGGGAAAGGTTTTGCAACGGAGGGGGATCGCGTGGGGGGATTTTTAGATAGTCGTCGCGATAAACCCCGCCGGAAACGCACGGGCACTTTGGACATTTTCTCGTTTTGTCATTCGTGTCGAGGAGGATGATAAAAGGCTGCTTAAGTTCTCTCGACAAAGCAACTGCCGTGCATCACAATGATAGCCATGTGTCCTTAGTGGCTGGGGTTGCCCGTTACCTCTACGTAAGCATTAATAACGCGTTTAAATAAACTGATTTATTTGAAGAATATGTTTTTTCCACAAGGGTGATAAAATCGTTGGATTTGTGAACCATACTGACTAAAAATTTACCTGATGATCCTGCTGGGTTGACCCTAGGTCAACCCTAATCAGTTATTTGGTTTATATAAAATGATGTTATTGGATTCTGATAAGCCATAAAACGCGATATAATAACTTTACTTGATATTTTCGCGGCATTTGAGATTTTCACGGTGTCCATGCATATTAGATTTGGGCTGCGTTCGGGGAGACGCTATTTGGCGCTATGAGTGAGCTCTGTCCTTGTTTAATCCTGAAAGTTGAACAAGGACAGAGGACGCTCATAGCGCTAAATAGTGTCGAACGCAGCCTTAGTTTCCGGATTTGAGCTGCGTAGATTCTTTTTTATTTGATTTCGACGTTTCGCGAACATTTCAGTCCGCTTCATCAGGGAGGAACGACCTGATGCAAGAACCAGAACCTTATTAATAATAAGAATTATTTTAATAGTTAGGACTTTATTAACAATCAGGAGCCGACAACGTTACCTTGTACAAACCAGATAACAGATTGGGGTCAACCTAATCAGGATCGTAAGATATATTTCTAGTCGGAATATCGATCCACACATCGTTGTGTTTTCTCCCCTATGTACTCCCATCCCTTTCACTCCCCCTCCCCCTCTCTCTCTCTCTTATTTCACATTTAGCATTTATACTTCTTGTTCCACCGTTCTGATCGTGTCACTTCAAAGTTGCACTTTTCTATCGATCTAGTCTTCATGTACCCACATAACTTGACTCTCTTTCGTGCGTGTCATGTGTCAACTTGAATAAGCCAACTCGGTCAAAAAAATTAACAAAGGAATAGCACTTTGACGTTGTCACGTCAGAGTGTTCGTTTTTAGACGAAAGATAGAAAGTACGATTCACAGCAAGCCACAGTTTTAGTCGACGAAAAACGGAGTTGTGCCTGCTTGAATCACGGCTGATGCCTTCAAAAAGTTCACATCGCTCTCGTTATATATAGGTAAAACGGAATAGTGAGTACCTACGTACTTCTCGTCTCGATACGATACGAGAGAAACCGCGCGGTGCATATATAGGGTGTGCTTTACATAACAATCGCCGCTAAAGACTCGCGGCATTGTCCGCCACGTGCTGGCGCCCGAGTTCCTATGGCGGTTTAATTAAGTGTGAACCACAGGAACGTGGACTACGCCTGACTTGATCCGATGATGACTTTGCGCGCTCGAGATATCGATGAGAAAGATCCACCATCCCTCTGCCCGAGGTGCATCATTCTTGTCGAAAAGGCGCACGTCAGTCGCGTAAACTTATAAGAAAAATAATTGGGATTAATGGTTAAAGATATTCTTACTATTTTTTCTTGTCAATTAATTGAAAGTAAAAGAGAATAATTCTGAAGATTACTCGATTATTCTTACTCGACTATTAATCAAGTAAGAATATTTTTATCTTCTCGATTATTAATCTCTCTTAACTAATGTTAGCTGTATCGTTCATTGTTTATTAAACAATTATTAACAAAAGGAGTTTAAAGATCATATTAATTTATATCAGTGCTGAAGGACGTAATTTGCTGATATGTATGAGGAAACAGTACATGTATGAGCGGGATGTGGAACTTAGCCTCCTACTTCGCAAAACTTCGTGAGAAAATTTAAATTAATTTTGTTATATCTCCATAATCAGTGATGTTTCCCACTTAGTTTTTTCTGCGCATTACTTTTAATAATCATATCTTTATAATACATATTAATATCAGAAAAATTGATGAGATGTCACTTTTTCTACATATGTATTTTCTTTTTCAATTAAAAAAAAATTGTGAAAATATCTTCATGGAAATCGTTTGTTTTCATCGATAATCTTTTTATTTGAACTACACAACAATAATCGTAATCATTTGGAAGTTTACATTGTGCGCCAGTACTAATGATGAGCTGTAATTAACAATTCTCTTTCCTCAAACAGATGACAGATCGTGTATCAAAGGCACTACAATTACGCCTGGAACGTCCGGGCCGGAAATTGACGCGAAACGACGTCCGCCATTTACTCGTTACACTCCGTTATACATAGAGACGATCTCGGGGCAATCTTAAGTCTACGTACCGAGACCTCTTTTTCTCGATCCGATCTAATCAATAATAAATTATAGGGGGATGGTGGTACATCTCTCCCCTAAAGCTAAGGCTCTGACCCTCCCGCTCAATTGGTCCCAATTCTTAAAGACCTTAATTGGCGCGGAAAATTATACCTTATTCCAGTTACCCCCGAACAAGACCAGCGTCCGCCCTGCGCGCCCTGCGTCCTTCACTCAGCCTCGCTATACTTTGTTGCCTCTCCTCCACCTCCTTCTCTCTTCCTCCTTCTCCTCCACCACCATCACCACCCCCACCTCGTCCTTCGCTCGATCTCTGCCACTCGGATATTTCTTTTTCCGCCGTGAGCAATCGCTCGAAATATCGACGTCGCACGACGACGGCGAGCGTTCAGAGAGCGAATGGGACTTTTATCGGGACGATATCAGGCCACGTCGGCCGATTAAGGGGCGAAGTGTCCGTCGCGTTTATGAAATAAAATCTCTGTCAGCAAGCAATCTTGGCAACGTGCGTCCGACGACTCTGACGACAGTCGTCATCTTCGCGACAAGTCGGTGCAAAAAGTCGTCGGCCTTAACTTGGATGGAGCTTGGCGCGGTTACCCTTTTAACAAGCTCGTCGCCTGTCGCGCGAAGGAAGAGAGAAAGAGAGAGAGAGAGAGAAAAAGAGGAAGAGAGGATGGCTGTAGATGTCCCATAAAATCGAATAGTTCCGTAGGAGGCTCCTTCCGAGCCCGATTTAACCGGCAGTCAATAAAGGCTGCTGGAGCCACGGAGACCGCGGACGCCTCGTTCAACGACCGTATCGAAACGAAAGCGAAACGTTAACGTAAACTGAAAAACAATCGTCGGCCACGGAGCGGCGGCTGTCACTCCAACGAGGAGTTGGCATCCGCGTGGCGAGTCATCTGTTTCCTACGCGGCCGCGTCGTTTATTTTTCCAGAATGGCCGCTAAAACACCGTGTCGTGCCGCTCTGTCCTCCGAGTAATTTCGACTATTTATAGCGGTCCACCTAAGCGACGACCAGCCACCTCGGCACGCTTTTTTACGGGGGTGTATTGACGCGAATCGATAAGTAGCGCTCGTTGCGTGAAGATCCTAACTCGAATCGGGATTCAGGTTCTAATTAACTGACGTCATTAACATATCGACTACTTCGCTTTGATTTCTACTGGTTATTCTAGTGCCCAATTCAAATTTGAAGAGAAAATGCAGCAAATAAATATAGTTTTAAACTAAAATTATTAGATAATTATGAAATAAGAACTCTCACGATAAGAATCAAACTACAAAAAGAAGGGGCATATAAGAGTTCATGCACGGGTGTTATAGTGCAGTATAACTAATATTTAATTAGTGATAGTTCTCAAGATGAGAAAATTTATTTACATTATATAAATCACCATACGCGTTTCAGTTAATATTGATTCTCCTCAGTGGTATAATGTCAAAGATTCGATAAGTAAAAATATAAATTTGATGTCAAGACGCAAATAAAAGCATAATTTGATGTCAAAACGCAAATACAAAAACGCATGTTCAGAACCCTCGCAAGTCAGTCAGTGGAGATTGACATAAAAATTGAAGCTCTCCAACAAAGATGTGTTAGCCAAGATGGAAAGTGTCAAATCTCCATCGCAACCAATGCCACTTACTGTGCACTTTGTCAGGTGCAGTGGTCGAGTGGTCTGACAATGAAAAAATGAGTAAAGCATTAGCCGCGAAGGAATTGACATAGATCATAGATAAAATTATTAGTTCTACGTTATCGACATTTTTGGAGACCGACTCCAATTGCTTTGTATTTAGGGATTGCGAAAATTATTTTAGAAGAAAGAGTAGCCCCTTTTTCATCGACGTAATTGAAATTTAAAACTGCCAGAGTACCTGAGTGAGAATCACACCGATTGTATATCGACAGTAGAATCGTAAACTATCGAGTCCAATTAACGAGCGGTAATTTAATCGCACGCCGGTGATGAAGCGAGACGAAAAGCTGAAGAATTCCTGAAGATCAAGAGGAAATTTAGAAAGGAGAATCGACGGGAA